AATTAGACTATGTTTCTGAGGCGGCAAAAATAATTAGTGAATTTTGTTGACTTTGATGACATTTTGGTAATAAAAAAAATTTACTGAAAATTGATAGAAACGAATGTCATATAATTGATATAATTAATATAGTTTTGAATTATAAAAAAAGTTAAGTTATAAAAAAAATAAACAAAAAATATACATCTATGAAGCTATGTGTATTCACTTCTAATATAAATTAATTTTAATCTCGATTTAATTTATTTTTTATTTTTTTCTAATTTTGAGAAATAAAATTAAGATAAAATTAATAGAATGATAATGAGAAACAATGCTATTTTAATTAATAGTAACATAAATATTTGTTATTATCACCACATGTTTTTTATTGATTATAATATATCAATGTTTGAATTTTAAAATTAAATAAAATTTATACACATATTTTTGCTTCCATTTTTATATATTAAGTAAAATATCTTAAAAGCATTGATTATTCTTTAACAATATTTCATCAAGAATCACCAATAAATTGATCATTGATCAAAAAAGAATGTCCTGATTTCAGAACAATCTATACATCATTATATCCTATAATGACAATCTGTATATCATTATATCAAAATAAACATCTATTTTATTCTTTCTTTTCAATATAAATAAATAAAATGGAACATTTCAGGTAAAAAGAAGCAAGATAGGATTCAATGTAGTTCTTATAATAAAAAACCTTGATTTGGATGAGAAGTTGCACTGTCGCGCTTGCAGACTCATTAGTAACTTGTGCAAATGTAGCTGGCATGCCAAAGAATTGTGCAATGCTGGAGTATTGGAAGCACTTACGGTACTCCTAATGTCAAAAATTGATAGACAAACTTATTGCATGGCTATCAGAGCTATAAGGTATGATATTCTTTCTGATAAATGAGTGTAATGTTTTTTTGTTCAACTGTATTTATTCTATGACAATAATTTCTGCATATTTTCGAACACATATATTTTGTCACAATTATGTATATTTATTCTGATTACATTCTAATTGCAGGAATATCTGGACTGTTTACGAAAAAATTCGAGAGACAATGGTGGAATTGAAAATTATTGAGCTAGTTACTCAATTATTTGTCATGGCTGAAAAGAAATCCATCGTAGACATCAAATATGCTGAGCTTGTGGATGCATGCTTGAAAGCCATGTGTGCATTTCTTGTCACTCTAGATCCGCGATGCGGCAAGCAGATGCATGTTAATAAGAATATGTGGGGTTATAAATGTCTTATGCGTTGCTGCAGCGCGGGCAACAATAAGATAGCCGTCAAATGTCTTTATACTCTCTGTCACATAGCAGAGTGTCGATTGAGTCTGGGCATTTCCGGCACGGTCGAGCAACTTATTGAGCTGATAAACACGGCGGACAATAGCTCTAATCTTCTATGCAAGGAGATATTGATTTGTTTGTGTTTGTTTTGTCAAGAATCAGTAAATCGGGATAGAATCAGGCAGAACGCTGGATTACAAGTAATTGTGGCATTACTAAATAAGCCTGAGTACGAATGCCATCATCCTGCATTGCTGGAAGCGCTTTCACAATTTATCCACGATGAAATCGGTCTTGATATTTTATCGAGACATGGCATATTAGAAATTTTAGTAGCAAAATTGGCATATGTGGTTGCTGTAGCTAAAAGCAATGAGAGGAGTAGCATGTCAAGAAAACGTTCTAGCAATTCTCCGGCCGAGAATTATAACAAACCTTTCAAATACCCTTGTTTGAGAAGGTAAAACAAATATATAACACATAATATCTATAGAATATTCAGAATATGTGATAACAGAATTTGATGTTGATTTGATGATATATTTATTAATTTTCATTTATTATTTTCTGTCGAGATTAACTCCATTTATTTACTTTGAAACTTGCAGATATAGTATGGATTATTATCGCGATGATTGGAGTCCAAAGAGCGCTACAAGTGCCTCCTCGTCACCACCTAGCACACCGCCTTTGCCACCTTACTCCGATTCCAATGCAGAAACGGATGATCTCGAAGATGACTACAGTCCGGTTTACAATGATACGGAATGCGATAATGACGAAGGTATATCATCTTTTTTATTAATATTGAAATAATTTTTTATTTGTAATATATGATCTTAAGATGATTGTAAGATCAATATATCAAGGTTTAAATACAAATTAACTCTTCTATTCTGTTGCTGTGTGTAGATGAAGAAAACATTTCTCTGAAGAGCTACAAATCATTAACAACTATCGAAGCTGATTCCGATTCTTCTTCTTCAAACTCTGAAATTTCTTCAGGAATGAATAGTTATGAATATTATACATTATTATTGCTGAATAGATTGAGTCTTTGCCCTAAACCCATCGACAAACTAGCTGAACCAACGACCATCAAATCGTTAACGGATTACATAAAATATGCGGAGAAGCAAAACGTAATCCTAAAATATAGGGACATTGCAGTCAAAATATTAAAGAGAATCATGGGGTAAGATTTCTTAAATTATGAACTTTAATTAACATCTTAAATTATGAACTTGTTTGCACGATTGTTCGTTTGATCGGTTATTTTACAGATATCTTTTACTTTACCACTTTACCACGTTTATGTTTCTCTTCCAATTTATAGGAACGCGGCGTATTTCATGCTACTACTAAAACAAGGATTAGTGTTTGAAGTGCAAACTTTGCCGGAAGTGGAAGACTATACACATCATTTACGCACGGTGGCAGAAACTGGCGGTGCCACAGGACAATTATCGTTTATATTGCTACGCGGCGAGGAAGAGCACAAATTGCTGACTGCGGTATCGATACCGCTTCTCATTAAAACGCAACATACTCTCAAATGTTTGCTGAAGAAGAACGGTGGGTTACAATTGATATTTGATCTTCTAACAGATTCGTCGCACAAATTACACGAGCGGGCTATCTGGTCGATCTGTCAGTTGGCGAAGACTTTAGAAATTAATCCGGACGATTGCTCGATCACTGAAACGGCCATAAACAGTAGTGAGTTGTGCGATTATTCGAGATTACCTTTCGATGAGACAAATCATATGGAGCCATTTGTGTCATCAATGGTGACATTTGAGTTGGATGACGGCACAACTGTTAAGACTTGCAGACGAATGTTATGTCAATACTCGCCGGTCTTTTCTGCTATGCTGGAAGGTAACTTCAGTGAGTCGAGCAAGAAACAAATACGATTGAGAGATACATCGCGTAATGGCCTGAAGACATTGATACTGGCGACAACCGGCGCCGCGTTCGAAAATCGAAGCATCGAATCGTTATTGGATGCTGTACTACTGGCTGATAAATTCCTCATGCCGGATACTCTAACGAAGACATTGACCGAGAATTCTTTACTCAAGCTCAATTACGAGAATTTCTATCGAGCCTGGCGCTGGGCCAGGAATCATTCTTGTCACGAATTGAAATCTTATTGTGTTAAAAGCTTCTTGACTGCAAAGATGTCGTGGAATGAAACGATAAGGACGTTTCGCGATTTCTATAATACTAATGTTTTCGACGAGTTCCTACACGAGATTAGGGACATAATCACGGGCGTGCTGTGCCAATGTTAGAGATATTAGACAGTTTTTAAATTCATATCAATGTGCAATTATAACAAGATGATTTTTTAATTTAGAATATTTATATCTAGAAGATTTACATCTTCGAATAATGAGCTCTAAAATAAGAATGGAGTAACTTGATTTTTTTTTATATTAATATGTATTTATTCTGCAGAGACATGGGCAGATTCTTTGTATAAGTTTGGTGCATTTTTAATGTGGTAAAAAAAGATAATCTTTTTAATGAAGATGGTTATCTTTTTCAGAAAAATACATGTATATATGCATATATTTATAATTATTATTATATATATATATATATCGTTATATATAATATATTAATTCTGTACATATTTAAAAATGTTTCAAGCATATCTTGCATTTGTACATAATATAAAAATACTTATAAAATTATCTTCCATGTAACGTTTCTCTTATTTAAAAATATAAAAAATTCTGTTTATGAAATATTTCGAAAATCATACATTTGTATGTTGTAAAAAAAGTCGTAAAAATATTCTCTGTGCATTCTAGATGCGTTGCATATACAAGATTTTTCATATAAATAATAGTATAGATCGATATTATTATATTGTCTCTATAAAAAAATATATACTTTCTTTTAATAAAATTTCCAGAAATTTCTCGTTTTTAAATAGTAAGATATGTGCTCTTTGATTCTAATGAATTAAAGCCAATTATTTCATTATAAATATATGAAAATATTAGACTTAATTATAACAGATCACCAAAACTTTTATATGAAGAATTAAGAAACGGTAAATGCAGCAAAAAATAAAATATCTCAACAATGACACATTTCCGGAAATTTCGCCAAAGGGAAAAGATTTTTGAAAAATATAATATCGATTTATACAAAAATATTATAGTATCGATTTATACCGTATTTATATGGAACATCCTATATAAATACATTCAACAAATATAACAATAATATTGAATTTATGCATGC